GACGGCAACTCTGACGCTGTCTTGTCCTGCCCAGGATGCATGGTGCTACTGACAAGGGATTGCCAACGACATGAGATTTATAATGATCAGTACAGGTGCTTATTCTATTTTAAAGGCACTGTTCACGAAAAAAAAATGGCTTCGGAGATTTGCACATGGTTTGAATTCGACGCCCCCTCTGATACCACTTGTGCAGGAATGAGGTCGGAAAACGGTCTGGATAGGGCACAATAAGGGCAGGAACAGTGGGGGACGGGAGGCCTCCGCCCCTCGCTAGGCTGACTACGAGTTCTAATTGTCCTTCACCACATTCGCATTGGAGCGAATTGTCTGCTTGGGTGTGTTGTCTGCTATGCAGACACTGTGTCGCCTTCGTGCACTCGCCCGAACACTCCCTTAACCGCCGTTCTTTCAAAGTGAAACTCGTCCAACCTCCCTTTCCAGCTCTTTTTTGACCCTTTCTATCTCTTTTTATTCATCGTTTTTTTTTTTTGCGCTTTTTTCGTTGTTATCGCTTTATTCTAGAGTAGTCCTATGAATTCCCGTCAAAAAAGGGTACTCTAAATTTATCGTAAACAGTGCCTTTAAATGTAAAAGTCGGGCTTTCACGCACCTGGAAATGCGACCGTCTGGTTTTTCTGGTTCGGTGATATTGAATTCTTCCAGGGCGATGTTCGTTGAAAATTGCCGGGTTGATCAAACAACTATCAAAATAGAGAAGACTGGTAAAGAGAGACGTCGTGAACGCCAAAAAATGAGAAAGATGGGTGTGGACCCTGCTCAGTTACCGGTAAGCACCATAGGATCTACATTGTAAACCGTATAATGTAACTTATGTGTTACCCTAGTAAGATGTGCTTTATACGAAGGTTGTACTGCTATGAGTCGGGAGTCAAAAATCCTGTTCTGTTTTCTTTTTTTTTCTTGATTATAGCTTTTTACGGTTCAAAGTACAGTTGCAGAATGCTTCTCCGATATAGCAGATTACTTACATACACAGTATTTTTCATGAAATTACATTTGTTTGACGAATGTGTTGAACACTGTATTGCAGCATACTTTTTAAAAAAAGGACTTTAGAGATTTAGATTTTGTGATTTTTTTGGAAGTTTTAATTTCGTGTCTATGTTAGGCGTTGCATTCGGAATTTGAAAAATAATGGTAAATAATGGCTGTTCAGGACTCTGCTGAGGACACATTCCTGCCAGTGCATTGTGCTGTGTGCTCGACGAACGTCGCTGTTATGGATCATGATGAAGTCTATCACTTTTTCAATGTGCTCACGGGTTATGCATGAATTTCATTTGAAATTTCACCCATTTTTATGAAGGCATATGTTTTGTATTCCCGAAATTATATACTATTAACTCATTGTTGTCGAATAAGTAATGTAATGCTTCGCTTCGGACAGCCCAATCACCATATTACTAGAATTCTTTTCTTTCTTTAAAAATGAAAGATATCTGCGTTCGAGACCCCTTTTTACTCAATAGAGTTGGAAATTCGGTGAATTTTTCATTTTGAGACCACAGGGAATGGGTAGCATAGTCGTTCTCCTCTTTTCCACAAATAAGGCCTATTGGAAGGATAATCCGTCTCCTGAATTTCCAAATAAGAAGCTAGCATTTCATTGCTCATTCCAAGTACCGGTAAAATTGAAAACGTATCGAGTAATTTCCATGTGAAGCCGTGCCGTACGGTCTCTTCTGTATCGAAAAATTGTAAAGTATTTAGATGTGTTATGGAGATAGTTGCCTCTACTGATCCGATCTGTATAGGTTCTTACTTGTTTTTGACTTGCCTTTTTTTTTAAATACTTTGTAAAGTAATGTTGAAAAGATCACACAAATTTCCTCTTTTCCAGCTTGATCTTTTTTGGCTACCTTGGCTAACCAATTTTCTCTGAAGCGTTGCTTTTTTGACCTTCGATTCATATTTCGTTTTGATTCCATTCAGTCCATTACTGGTATATGAATCGAAGTCTGAAATCACTGCGCTGTTTTCTTCAATAAATTTTTATAGTTGCGTTGACTGGAATATTTTGTATTACTAGTATTCGAACCAAGTGAAGTCGCTGTTAAGCTGGACTATCTTCATGAGGTTAGAGATTGGGTGATTATTCCTAAAATAGGCACTAGGCCAACAAGGCTCTGTGTCCATCCGGAGATTAATTGGTACCAGACTCGTCTGGAAGGATGAAAGCACTGACTTGTACATCGGTTAGTCACCCCAAGCCGCCACTACGATTCTTGATACAAGTCGAGTGCGTTGGAACATCCCTCAGAGGGGGTTGAGTAACGCTTCAAGACTTTCCCCTAGACTCTTAACCCCTCAAGGTCAGAACAAACATTTTACACCGAAGACGTTGAAGATCTGATGAATTTGGCTGTGAGGTTGTTATTAGGAACGGGATCAGATACCTAGGTCGAGTGTTTGGTAACGGAGTTTCTGGAGGAAACTATTTTTCAGCTGTGGATGGGTTCAGCAACGCTACAGTTGAGCACCGTGATTGAAACAGTGAAGCGAATTTGATTGTCGAGGTCAATGAGTTATCCAGGTGGTTTTTCCACAGTTTTGTAGTAATTCGACCTAAACTGTTAAAGGTGGTGAGTTCAGTGGTCGAAGTTGCTTTTTCTAAATGGCAAAGTTTCAGGGCTGCATTTCGGCGGCCTCCTGAACGAGGAATAGTAGAGCAGATAAGGATTATTGGAGGCAATAGTGTCTTCCACTAAGGAAACGTACACAGCGTTCCTCTAGCGTACCTGAAAACGCCTAGAATTTTCGAAGGAGGCAAAGTGCATGGCGCATCAACAAGATTGGTCAGTAGCCGATTTGCTATCCGAACCATTCATTCTTCCGCCCCTTAAATTTTTATTAATTGTTGTATCAATCAGTTATAGTAGTGAATCCAGTCATACTGCGGTTGGCCTGGAAAATCTCTCTGTAACCCCTCAGGTCTCTAGAAGGGTAAATGGATACTGTATCGGAATTTCCATGCATAGGTTCACAAAACAACCAAAAATTATTCCTTTCTATTTGGTTTAATCGTTAGGACTGTAAGAATGTTTTTAAAAAGCAAAAGATTATACATGATAGATAGATAATGTGATATGATATGTCATGATATGATATGATATGACATGATATGATATGACATGCTGTGATACCTCTACTCTATGTCTGATGTGATGGTCAATTAGGTATCTGCACTAATCTGAGAAAGTTTACTTTACATGGGATACCAGTGATAGTACGTCCACTTCTGGTTTCAAGAAAACGCATTTGCATCGGGTAATTTCTCCCGGAAATCGAATTTGGCTTCCTTGTTATGAATCGGAAACTGTCTCAATGGAATCTCGTTATGTGCGGCTGCTGCAACGATCTCGATAGAAAATTCCAATGATCCGAGTCGGAAGTGGGGCATAGTTGCAAGTGTTCTTTTCGGTGACAGTTCTGGCTGAGTAATTTATCATGCTCGGTCTACGATCAGACGGCGCGGCGCCCCCCGTCCGGGTTCCAACTCGGACTGTCTTTTGCACGATTACGCTGCAGCCTGGCCAAGAGTGTCCTTCCGCGGCAAATATGGTCGGATCCTTTTTCTAACTTACCCTACCTTCCATATTCCTTGTGGAAGCCAACATTCCATCTAACCATTACATCCAATGAAGTATGGAAACGGAGAAGCGGCGCATTTCACAGAATTGATAGATGCTCTTCTTTAGTTTAGCGTCCTACCAAAAATGATTACTGTATATCAATTATGGGATAGTCCTCATACAGCTGTGTTGGTACTCTTAGGCCTCACTTCTGTATTTCCCTAACATCTCTCTATTGAGGGCGACTACGCTTCGAAACCAGATGGACTACTTTTTCTTTTCAGAAGCCACTCAGAAAGATAGTTTCATTTAGCAATTTAATCTCAAAGGCATGATCTATCACTTTACTTTCTACACTATGAATAACGAATAAGAATAGATCATCAAGGATAAAGTTTTTGGGGTTGATTAATTCCGTCTGAGGGATGCGTCCTCGCACTCGACTTCCATTCAGAATCGTAGTGGCGTAATGAGTGCGTATGTAGCCTTACAGTGACTTGCGGTGGCCAGCCGATGTACAAGTCAGTGCTTTTATCCTCCCAGACGAGTCTGGAACCAATTAATCGACCCTGGAGTGATGGAAGGCTTGNAGATTCGAACCGGCGACCGTGCATGTGATATAATGCGCCCCTTGCCCACTACAATAAGTCCGCTTCTAGGAATGAATCATGCAATGGGCGACTTCTGTTTCACTATCAAAAAACGCTTGGTTCAGCAGGACTGATAATTTTTCAGAACTCGCTCTTTTTCCCTCTCCTAGAAGCCATCTCCAGTGAACTATGGAAAAAATCCACATCAGCATGACCAAATTATCTTCTGAACTTATGAGATTTTTAAAAAATCTATTATGGGTCTCCGATTTCCAATTTCATACACATTTGGTAGAACTTTGCTCACACACTGAGATTTCAAATTGAGTCGTTTCCGTAGCAATCACTCTAAAGCAGAAAAGAAATCGCATTCTGTGGTTGAAGTGTGAACTAAATGAATGATGGGCTGTGAAGGAGGGAATGAGAGAATTATCGCAAGACAAAGTGATGAAAGGTCTTAAACGCCAATCGCTAACCCTTTCGTTTTCTACCAGTTAGTGGTGGCGAGTAAATCGAAAAAATTGCTATCAGCTTTACTACAACATCTGTTGTAGTAGTTAACTATTTTTGTGGTATGAAAATTTGGCACCAGAAGGTGACTAGGAATGCTCAATCTAAAAGAGATGTGAAAGAAGTACAAGTCAAAGTGCATGGCGCGAATTTTTTGCTCCTTCATTGGGCCATGCGTCCACTTTCATCTTGAATACAGATAGCATTTGAATATGCGTCTAGCTTTACAATGGCATGCAGACGACAGCTATTGTGCTGAGTTCCATCCTTCTCGTTCTAAACAAGTTTGGTTCTTACTGGTTGAAAGTTAAGTAGTGTTCAGACGCTTTCGGTTTAAAGGCACGGTTCGCGATAATTCAGTGGGCGGGATGTCAATGGCGTGNCCCGCCTCTCACTCGATGTCAGAGACATCGAATGAGAGGCGGACACGCCATTGACATACCCGCCCACTGAATTATCGCGAACCGTGCCTTTAAATTTCTGGGCTCAAAAAGGTGTCGATTGGACGTTTTACTTTTCTGCCTTTAAAATTGACAAATGAATGAACGAAATGAAATCTAGTGATTACTTACCTTGATCTTGAGAGTGTAACTGATGATTTTTAATAAGGGGAAGTATGCTTATTTTTGTTTATGTGAGTTTTTTTTTCAAAAACTTAAAGTAGAGCTCTTCATATAAGGACAATGTAAAAGTAAACCGAAATGCTAACAGTCAACTGCCCTTACACGTTTGTCAAGGTAGTTTAGGGGAAAAGACGAGCGTGGCTCAGCATTTGGAAAAACCACTTTCGTGAATCATGAAGATGGATCGAATCCTACTCAGTAGTAGGAGTTACAGAGTGAGCTAAGTATTCACAGAGATGTTCCCACTATACTAACTGGGAACTGAATACAGCACAGCACAGGTACGGGGTTCGAGTCCCGTCTGAGGCCGAAGTTTTGTTCACAACTCGCCAATCTTGTGAGAAATGGAATCCCGATGGCATCCTCGTGAGGGTCAGGAATTGGGACAGTGCTAATTGATGTAATTGACCAAATTTTTTTTTGGCATTTACTAGTAGATCCCTAGTAGTTTACAACTAGGCATTTACTAGTAGGCATACCCTTCTCTGCAATCACTTCCCCTGGTACACTTGTAATTGTCATTTGCACTTGTGCTGGTATTCCTACCGAGACATAAGTGTAACGGAGTTCGCAATGGTTTCCGGTATACAACAACCTTGAAATACGGGATGAAATGTCCTTGAGCACCTATTTTCTCTGGACTTAGTCATTCAACACCTTTTTTTTACAAGAAATCATGTCCTTGATCTGATTTAAGGACAGCGGAAAGCAATTGTTTTTACGATGGACATTAATGACAATGAAACATTCATTAACTGGTCTGACAATGAAAAGTGCAGTGTACACTGTGCTCCATTTGCTTCACATTCGCTACAGTGAACGATTTCCGTCTAATAAAAGATTTATTTGGAATTTCCCAGAAAATAACTGTTAAAAAGTTGGAATTTCGGTAAAGAGCTTGTGTCGACCTTAACTGGAACGACTAAGGGTCATTGGTAAGACTTGCTTTTTAACAAGTTGAGCAAAGAGGTTGGAGGA